TCATAGTGACCCCTCCTTGGGTTTCCAAGGCAGTATCACTACGGAAGTAGATTGCCCAACCTTCCTTCTGAGGAGTGGCTGGTGGGTTTGAACCATAGTAGACCTTAATGGCATGAATAAAGTACAGCTTTCATGATCTTCATTTTCTGATGTGGCATGACCAAAATGAGAACAAACAGTTGCAAACATCTATTAATAATCAGAACGTGGAAAGTATGAAGCATGAATCTAGGAAAACTGGAAGTTGTCAAACATGAAATAGAACACATAAAGATTGATATGCTAGGCATTAGTGAGTGGAAACAGACTGGTATTGGCCACTTTCAATCAGAAAATCATAATACTATGATTACAGCAAGAATACAGTGTTTTAGTATCAGCTCAAACAATGAACAAATGAATACATTAATAAATAATAAAACAAAGGATGTAACCAAGCTAGTGTTTATATAAACAGTGGTTAGTATTATTTTCAAATGGAGAAACTAAGTCTCATAGGGATTAACTTCTTTCCCAAGGTCGTAGAGTAATAAGTGCAGACCTAACAGTAACACTGACAGATTGAAGAACAGAGTGTGTGACTCATCATCAAAAAGAACATTTCAAGATCTGCCCTGAGGTAAAAGCTATCAGTGATAGGATAATACCCCTAACACCTACAAGGAAGACTAGTTAATACTACTACTACCAAATTTATGCACCAACCACTAAAGCCAAAGATGAAAAAATTAAAGACTTTTACAAACTTCTGCAGTCTGAAATTGACCAAATATGCAATCAAGATGTACTGATAATTACTGATGATCAGAATGCAAAAGTTGGAAACAAAAAACAAGCATCAATAGTTGGACAATATGGCCTTGGTGAAAGAAATTACACCAGAGATCACACGATGGAATTTTGCTGAAGCAATGACTCATTTATTACAAATAACTTTTTTTCAGGAAAAGAACCACATGATCATATCAATCAATGCAGAAAAGGCATTTGATAAAATCCAACACCCATTCCTGATAAAATCTGTCAGCAAAATAGCAATAGAAGGGAAATTCCTCAACATAATAAAGGGCATATGTCCAAAACCAATAAACCCCAAACTCACTGCCATGGAGTCAGTCCTGACTCATAGCGACCTCTCCTTGGGTTTCTGAGGCAGTATCACTATGAAAGTAGATTGTCCAACCTTCCTTCTGAGGAATGGCTGGTGGGTTTGAATCGCCAGTCTTCTGGTTAGCAGTTAAAAGCCTTAGGCACTACACCACATCATTCTCAGTGGAGAGAGAATAAAACCATTTCCCTTCAGACAAGGATGCCCACTATCACCATTTCTATTCAACACTGTATTGGAAGTCCTAGCCCGAGCAATACGGCAGAAAAGGGAAATCAAAGGCATCCACATTAGTAAGGAAGAAGTCAAACTATCTCTCTTTGCTGATGATAGGATCCTAAACCTAGAAAACCCAAGAGACTCAGTCAAAAATCTACTGAAACTAATGGAGAGATTTAGCATCGCGGCAAGATACAAGATCAACATCCAAAAATCCCTGGATTCCTCTACACCACCAAAGAGATTGCTGAAGCAGAAATAAGGAAATCACTACCACTTAAAAAAAGCTACCAAAAAAATTAAAATACTTGGGAATAAATCTTACCAGGGACACAAAAGATCTGTGCAAAGAAAACTATAAAAGACTACTTCAAGAAATCAGAAGAGATCTACATAAATGGAAGAACATAGCATGCTCATGGATAGGAAGATTGAACATTATAAAAATGTCAATTCTACCCAAAACAATCTATACATTCAATGCAATCCCAATCCAGATCCCATCAACATTCTTTAAGGATATGGAAAAACCAATCACTAACTTTATATGGAAAAGAAAGAGACCTCAGATAAGCAAAGCACTACTGAAGAAGAACAAAGTGGCAGGCATCACACTCCCAGATCTTAAAACTTACTATACAGCCATGATAATCAAAACTGCCTTGTATCGGTATGATGCCAGACACATAGACCAATGGAATAGAATTGTTCCATTGGTCAATATTCTATAAGTCAATAGATCCATTGACGTATGGTCAGCTGATCTTTCACAAAGGGCCAAAATCCATTAAATGGGGAAGAAATTGTTTAACAAATGATGCTGGCAAAACTGGATATCCATTTGCAGAAAAATGAAACAATATCTGTACTTCATACCATACACAAAAACTAACTCCAGATGGATCAAAGACTTAAATGTGAAACCTAAAGCTATAAAGTTCCTCAAAGAAAAAATAGGAGCAAATTTAAGGCATTTGATGGCTAACCAGAAGGCTGACGGTTCAAACCCACCAGCCACTCCTCAGAAGAAAGTTTGGGCAATCTACTTCTGTAGCGATACTGCCTCAGAAACCCGAGGAGGGGTCGTTATGAGTCAGACCCGACTGGACAGCAGTGAGTTTAATATATGGCATAAAGAGATGATCAAGCATAACCCAAAATGCACAAACAGCAGAAGAAACTAGATGAATGCAACCTTCGAAAAATTAAATTTTTATGTGCTTCTAATGACTTCTCCAAAAGAGAACCTACAGATGGGGAAAAAAAATATTCAGCAATGACATATCTGACAAGGGACTTATCTCTAGAATTTATAGAAAATTCCAACACCTCAACAACAAAAAGACAAATAATCCAACTTAAAAATGGGCAGAAGACATGAATAGACACTTCACCAACAACAATATTCAGACAGCCAACAAACATATAAAAACATGCTCATGATCATTAGCCATTAGAGAGATGCAAATCAAAACAATGAGATACCACCTTGCCCCAGCACTAGTAGCAAAGTTCGACAAGACAGAAAATAACAAATGCTGGCGAGGATGCAGAGAGATGGGACTCTCATGCACTGTTGGCAGGACTATAA